CCGTTTTCTCCCTCTTTTTATATCCCAGATAACTCAAACACACCTCAATTAATGTTTAGAATTAATAAGGCTTTGGTAGCTCTATGTTAATTATGGAATTTGTAGCTGGGGAAATTCTGCTAAAACACACCTTTAAGGGGTACTTGTTGTAAAGAAGCGTGCGCTAAGATTAATCAACTTCTCAAAACCGCGGGAGCACACTGTACCATTTTTCCTRCACATACACTCACTTCCCATCAACTTCATGTTTTTTGAGCGGGTTTGCATTTTGATGCACGATATTTTTAACAGTCAAGCCCMAGACAATTTGAACTGCTTATTGAGGTCATTGGAAGATGTCCATGGATACACGACACGATCAACATCAAATAAATGTATTTACATTTAAATTATGTAGGCGTTCTTTTCGTTTTATGGGCGCTAAAATCTGTAATAGTCTCCCTGTTTCTATTAAAAGTCTGAATAAATTCAAATTCAAGACAATGATTAAGAGCATCTCGAGATTTTAGAAAAAGCAGACGATTTTTTAGATATCGATCAGATTATTGACGAGCTAAAGACTTCATACTGAGGAACACCTTTGTCATCATTTTATAATTATCTTAATATTTATTTAATAATTTCAAAAACGGCGCTGAACCGTGAGACAATGTAATCACGTTTGTAGAGAGCTCCGGGTTTGGTTGCTAAAAAACGTTTCTTARGAGAAGAAAATTTTTCATTCAAGTCAAGAAATCTATTTTATATGAGTAAGAGGAGACAGCRTGAAAGTTGTTCGTCAGTTTCTTCACAGGAAAGATCTCCAATTTCAAAAAATCCAAAGATGTCAAAGGAAGGAGAAGACCACGTGCATAGTACGCCAACCCTTACATCGATTTTTGAGATGATTACTAAGGTCCAAAAGAACACCGAAGATATTAAAAAAGAAAATGAAAACTTTCGTAAAGAACTGCTGAATTTAAAAAAGGAGTATGCTGCCCAAGCCGCTATTATAGCTAAGCTACAACAGGAAAATACAAGTCTACGTAGTGATGTGGACCAGAATAACAATCAAATTATCAGTCTTCAAAGCATGATAACAACACTTAGTTTCAGACTAAGCCAAGAAGAAGAAATGTTAGAAGATACACGCCAATATCAGAGAAAATACAACGTGGAAATTCACGGTATTCCTGAAGTAGAAGGAGAGAATTTGGAAGAGGTGGTTGAGGACATAGCTAAAGAGATGGATGTCGAAATTGAGTCAAGCGACATAGATATAATTCACAGGCAAAAATCTAAAATTGTGCYGAAACCAATTTTGGTTAAATTCAAGATCTWTGATGATAAAAATATTTTCTACGARGGAAGGAGGAAGTTGAAAAACTTCCAAGGCGACGAGTCTAAAATAAACGGGGCGAGACAAATATTCATTAACGAGCACCTCACAGCCGAAAGAAAGCGCCTGTACGCCCAAGTAAGACAAAAGGGAAGGCTTTATAAATGGTTTAGAGTTTCAACCAACGATGGGAAAATATTTGTCACGGTTTCTAAGGGGGCAAGATCAGTAATGGTCAGGAAAGAAGCGGATCTTGAGGAGTTGTATGGCTAAGTCTGCTAACCATCAGCTAAGTGGAATATAAGTATACAGGCTTTCTTTCTTATGACTATATAAGAAGTCCGAAGACAACCAAAACAATATATTATTACTTAACAATATTTATTACTTGTAAGGTCCATCTTATTTCACTTCATATCATATAAGAACGTAGTTTTGTTA